GTGCGACGAGAGAGCCCGGACACCAACTTCTCCTCCTGGCAGATCCACACCGATATCTTCTTCTCCGAAGGGTCCATGGCACAACCTGGACGCAGGTGGCGGACAGCCCGGCCGCTCTGGGATGGGACAGGAGCTCGAGACCCCCGTCAGCACGGACCCTTCTCAGCTGTGCACCGGGGCGGGCGTGGGCTGGAGAGGCTGCAGCTGCGATCGGCCGGACGGCGCGTGCTCCCAGGGCAGTGCGCCCGGGATCGGGCTCCCACCGCTTTGGCTCTGCTCAGGGTTGCTGGGGCCTCCCTCCAGGTTTTGCTCCTCCCCACATGGCTCCTCCCCCTCCCGCCCTCAGTGCCCAGAGAGCCGCGATCCCGGGAGGCGCAGCGCCCAGACCCGCCCCTCTGCGGCGCGCTGTTCGCGTTAGGAGGTTTGGTCCCTCTGCACACACGCCGCTCATTTGCGCGTGGGCTCGAGAGAGGGTCCCCTCCGCTGCAGAGCCTGGAGCCCGTGCCTAGGCGGGATCAGCGCTGTGTCTTCCCAGGGCCTACCGGCTCCTCTCCTAGTGTCTAGGGCTCGCCTCACAAATGTTGAGGTGACTTCCCCGCCCTCCCAGACACGACTTCTGGCCCCTCCTGGCAGCGCCATCTGAGGAATGCCCCTTGCGCAGACAGGGAAACCAAGGCAGGCAGTGCCTCTAGCAGAGACACTGTAACCGCACTGGGTGACTTTCAGCTGAGAACTCTAAATGCTGCCTTAAGTAGTCGCATATTTAAGGAGAACAAGATGGACAGTGTAATTCATGGGAAGGACAGGGGTATGGTCTGAGAAATGCTTCACTGGGGCAATTTCGTGGTTGTAGGATCATCATAGAGTGCACTTACACCATCCTAGATTGCATGGCTTTCTACACACCTGGGCTGCATGGCCTATTGCTCCCAGGCTACAAACTTGTACAGCATGTTACTGTACTAAATACTGTAGGTTACTGTAACAGTGGTGTTTGTGTATCTAAACATAGAAAGGTACAGTAAAAATAAGGCATAAAAGATACTTTTAAAATGATACACCTGTATAGGGCACTTACCATTAATGGAGCATGCAGGACTAAGTTGCTCTGGGTGAGTCCGTGAAAGGTGAGCAAATATGAAGGCCTAGGACATTATTGTTGTTGACAAAAGGTGGCTGGCCCCAAGCTATTCCAACAGCAGTCCCCAAACTGAGGTGCCCTAAAAGGAGAAACTTTATTCAGATGAACAGTTTGAAGACTGGTAAACGTATCCTCCGATGGAAACTGAAAATACTCTCCCAAAGGCCACTAGGGAGGCCCGCTTATATAGAGAAAGTGCCTGACCTGGCTCCTGATTGGTCCATTTTTATGCAAATGAGGAATCCAAATGTGCTTAGTTTGATTGGTCCAAATAGCACTGTCCTGATTGGTCATAAACACCTGTTCTGATTGGTCATTGTGGAGTTGCTCTGATTGGTCAGTAAAGATGCAAATGAGGCTACAGCTGTGTAGTTCTGATTGGACAGGGCAGGTCTCCGCCCATTGGTTGAAAGATGATTCCAGGAACACCTTTCTAAGAGTGGGCTTACCGGACTTGAACACAATGCAGAAGGCTTTCGGATCAGTCTGCAGCTTTTCTCTGAAATGAAGTATGTGTCAGAGGCCCTGGTCAGCCAAGGCTGCTAGACTCTGATTATGAATTTAAGCCCAATTAACCACCTGGAGTCCTTCTTGGCAGGTATACACGTAATTTATAAAACAACATGAGAGTACATCAAGCACAAGAGGAAATGATAAAATCAAGAGACTTGGTAAACACGAGATGTATGATGCTGCTGTAAGTGTAACACAGCATACTGTTTTACAGAGGACATTTTTAAATAAGTAGAACGAGCAAACTACAAAATAATGATTAAAAGCATAGTATAGTAAATATGTAAACCTGCCACACAGTTATTATCATTATCAAGTATTATGTACTGCACATCATTGTATGTGCTATATTTTTGACTTTAAAAAAAACAAAACACACATCCTCATCCAAGGATATTTTCCCATTATTTTTAGAGAGAGTGGGAAGGGAAGGTGGAGAGAGAAACATCTACTGTTTGCCTCCAGCACAGGATCAAGCCTGAAACTGAAGTACATCCCCTTGACCTGAATCAAGTCCAACCTCCCAGCAGAGCTTGTACACCCTCAAGATCTGACGTCAGCTTTACTCTCAGCCTGTACACTCCAGCCACCCCTTGTTCACACTGTTCTCTCTGACCTAAGCTACTCCTCTCAGGCAGCCTAAGATCCCCCCAACCCCCACCCCGCCGCAGTTGGATCCAATTGAAAGTCAAAGTGCAAATGGTTGCCTCCCAGACAGGAGCTTAGTATCCTTTCTCATCTACTATTCCTGATGCCTAACGGAGAGCACATAGATTCAGTGAGTGCCCTGAGCCAGAAAAATATACAAGCTTCATCACAGGAGAAAATATACAAAAATGTATTTATAACTTGGGGGGGATGCATTCATAAACAGGACATAAACATGCAAAATTCATAAAAGAAAGAATCAATATGTCCAGCTCAAAATGTAAACCTTCTTACTGAAAAAATACACAAGGATATCCTACACAATTTTAAAAAGCCGATTAATAACCCAGGAAGGAATATTTGCAGCATAAATACCAAAAGATTAGGATTTGAGATGTATAAAGAACTCCCAAAATTTAGTTTTAAAAAGTATCAGGCAACATTATGTGAAATGGGTGAAGAGTAGATAAAGAGGAAACAAATGGCCAAAAAATATAAAATAATGCTTCACTAGACCAGAAATCAGGAAAATATAAATTTAAGTGAAACAAGATGCCCTTCTTCTGCCAGGAGATTGGCAGCATTTAAAAAATATATAACATCATTGGCAAAGATGAGGGGATATATCCTCTCATACACCACTGGTGTAAATCAATGTATCTACTTTGGTAATATCTATTAAAAATAAAAAATGTGCATACTCCACATCTCAGCAATTTCACTTTATAGTATCTACCTTAGGAAAACACCTGTGTGCTCAGAAAGCACGAATGGGATGTGCACTAACCCATTTTTGTTTTAGCAAAACAATGGATACAATCAAAAAGTTCAATAAGTAGATGGCTGATAGACAGGGATACATCCACAATCTGAAGTCTCAGCAGCGCTTAAAGCCAGTAAATTATATATATATATATATATATATATATATATATATATGCAATAATAAACCTCAAAAATGCATTGTTCAGTGCAAAAGGCAAGTTTCAGAGTGATGTGTATGATGGGATCCCATCTCTCCTTAAAAACATATACACAAAGCATCTTATATAATAAAAGGCTAATATGCAAATTGACCAAACAGTGGAACAACCCGTCGCTATGACATGCAATGACCACACACTCCATCCATGCTTTTGTTCCGGCCCTCCGGTCCAGTTTAAGAACCCACTGTGGCCCTCGAGTCAAAAAGTTTGCCCACCCCTGGCTTAGACCCACTCCCTGCAGGGAGTGGGCCTAAACCATCAGTTGGGCATCCCCCAAGGGCTCCAGACTGCGAGAGGGCACAGGCGAGGCTGGGAGATCCCTCCAAGTGCATGAATTTTGTGCACCGGGCCTCTAGTATATTCATAAAGTCACACTGTATGTTTTCTAGGGGTACAGATATCAGTGTGCCTGCATAGAGCAAGGTATGGAAGAATATTCACTAAATCAAAAGCAGTGAATCCCTCCTGGAAGAATAAGGCATTTGCAGAGGGAGAGGCTCACAGAGGAAGTTAGCTTCATCTGCAATGATTTTACAAGACGGATTTAGGCACATATTACTTAATTATGCAATTATAGTGTATGATTTTCAAAAGGGAAAGGGTGTGGGTTGGGATTACTAAGTTCTGGTTCCCCTTTAGACCTCCCCTTCTGCGGACGCCGCCCCAGGATAAGTGGCATCTCTGTTCCCTGTCATCTGAGGGAACGTCTATAATCCACTTCTGTATTTCAAAGGGTTGTGAAGGTTAAATGCGCTACTGGCTGAGGAGGAGTCTTGGTTGAGTACCTGGTTTAAAGAATGTGCGTCTCACTGGAGCTTTTCTTCCTTTTGCGGTGAGCTTTTAAGAAGACAACCCAGTTCTCACAGTGGCAACAGAGACATTTGCTGTAAGTCTTCACTTTAGATTTCACAAGAGTGGCATGTCATTTGACACTGTGGTTTTTTCTTCATTTATCTTCCTAACACCTGTGAGAGGCAAGACCTAGTTCCCTTGCCCATGAGAAAACTGAGGCCAAGGGGAAGGGATTGGCTGTTTCCCAGCTTGCAAAGAGCTGCTACTTGGTCTGGAATTTCTACCTGTCCAATCTGTCAGTCATGGTTCATGGCAGCGTGGAACACCCAAAACAGAAACTTCCGCCTTTAATTACACTGAGCCGTGCAGAAGTGTGACTGGGCCGCACGATCTGAAGCAGTTCCTCATAATGATTAACCGCAGAAAATAACCCAGCCAATTGTGTTTACAGAAACATTTGGTTGCTCTCAGGTGGCTTGGGGAAAACGTGGAAACTGCCACACTCATCCATATCATTCTTGACCAAACCGAGCTCCCAGCTGGGACAGAGATGCTGGGCTGTCATCCATGAGACCTTGCTTTTTTTTTTTTTTTTTTTTG